CGTTCATGAAATTCAGTGGCAGAGAGTCATTTGACGGTCCTGCAACTGACTAGGAAGAAGAAATTGAGCCAAAGAAGCACTCTAGAGCATCAGGCTTACGTCTCTGTGGTGATTATGCACGTCTCCTAGCACAATTTGTCCGCCGCCAATATGGAAGCCATTGGCATGCGGGAATAAATTCAAGCTGTTACAGCTGTTTCCGAAAACCTTGGCACTACGCGAAACTTTTGCGCGCTGCCCAACTTTTGATGGCGAGCTAAGGATTACTGGATTTGGTTTTCCGCCCGGTCGGGCCGTCGGTTATCACGGTCTGGTACTTTATCGATATCTTTGCGATCTCTTGCTTTACACCTTCATATGGTCTATAGGGCTATCAGCGAGGACCTCAAAGCTCGGTCCTTGTGGCTATTGGAGGCTGGGTACATCACGGAAGAGGTGTGCGAGCTTCTCGGAGTCTCGCGTCGAAGCCTGTTCCGTTGGAAGGCGAATCAGCAGGACTACGGCAGTGTCATACCTCCCCCAAACCCTGTACGTGGACGACCTCGTATCCTCAATGGTGACCAGACACACGACCTCCTCACTCTTCTCGCGGAGGCCCCCGAGATGTTTCTTGACGAAATAATGGACTGGGTTGCTCTCCATCTCGATGAGAGCATCTCACGTACCGCCTTGCATGTTCTCATCCGTGATGCGGGGCTCACGTACAAGATTCTTCGACGTGCTGCTTCGGAACGCGACGAGGAAGCACGGGAACAGTGGAGGCAACTCATTGGCAACTTTGTTGCTTCAATGATTGTCACCGCGGACGAATCGAGCAAGGATGAGCGCACAATATTCCGCAAGCGCGGACGAGCTCCCAGCGGACATCGGGCAGAGATCGAGGCCGATTTTGTGCGTGGGGAGCGCTACAGTATTCTGGCTGCCATCACTGTCGACGGATACATTGGCACCCGAATCGTGTCTGGATCTGTGGATGGCGATGAGTTTTTTGATTTCATTATCAACGAGATCGTAAGTCGAATTAGTTATTTACTCCTTCAGTCTCTGATGCTTTCAAAGCTTCCCTAGATGAACAGCTATCCCAACGACAGAAGTGTTTTGATCCTCGACAATTGCGCCATTCACAAGAGCCAATATCTTCGTGAAGTTGTCGAGGCACAAGGTTATTCTTCTTTTCTTACGTCGTCCATAGCTGATGTTTGACAGGCTCTATTCTACTCTTTCTCCCGCCGTACTCCCCCGACTTCAATCCCATTGAGGAGAGCTTCAGCGCTGGTGAGTTTCCGTCGAGTGTTACCCAGCGTGGGCCTGATTGGATGCCGTAGTGAAGGCCTGGATACGGCGCCATTGGAGACGGATGCAAAGTAGCGAAACACCGGAGGTGGATCTCTTGGAGGCATGTGCAGCTGTAACAGCAGAAAGTGCACGAGGCTGGTTCCAACACTCGGGATTTTCGTTAGGTCCTGCCACGGCGTAGTCATCACACAAGGGTCTGTACAAAGAAAGTGAATATATTATAGACGTAAAAATGACTGCAAAGGGGTAAAAGCAGGCAGATCTACGAAGGAGTATAAGTGGGATATCGCGCGGTAACTATTCGACTCTAAACTAAATGTACTAAGAAGATGCGGAGGTAGTTCTGGGAATGGTACGAGATTATTCAATGACGAAGGGAGTTTTTGTACTTGTTATACGACTTGACGACCCTGTTCCAGCCAAAGAGAGTGAGCCCAGCCGCCTTCCACTGCGCCTCCGTAACAATGGACAGATCGTCGCCGATATCGAAGCCGAGCTCGAGCAGGAACGATTTTGCTCCATCCGGAAGATCTGGATAGCGCTCAAGGAACTCGTCGACAGAGCCACCGGAAAAGGCGGGAGATGAAGGAGGGTCTGGTAGCCGTTCCTCACGCCTGCGCTTCGACGACGACTGCCGAGGTGGTGAAGACCCATCCCAAGATCGCTCTCGTCGACGCGGACGAGGGTGATCCTGCCAAGGAGGCATATTTCCGGCAGGATGGCCATAATATCCAGGGGAATGATAGGAAGGGAATTGGGGGAACGGCATGGGAGGTGGGAAGGGATGTGAAGGATACCCGTAAGGGTTAGCGTACGGAGTCATAGACGGCACAGACGGCCCAGCGGGCGCCGTGCCAAAATGATCGGGTATGGTTGGCGCCGCAGGTGTGGCGGGCTGCGTGCCCTTTTTCTTGATCGCCGCCTTTGCACTGAAGTGCTTGGAGGCGAGTGGCGGCCCAAAGATCGTTGTGGTGTTGTTTTTCTGAGCAGAAATCAGTCTCAATGTCGTGCTTGAAGTGCAAGATAGATTGCTTACAATCGCGGCGGCCCATACAATTTTTTTGGGACGGTCGAGCAAGAAATGAAGATCATTCACCCGAGAGTGAAAGCACTCGATATCGGGATGAACAGAGCACGTCCCTGCCGGATACTTATCCGATATAGCTTGCATCTCTTCCTCGAGCGCTTGATCAAAAGGAACCTAGCGAAACATTCAATACAATTAAACGTAATTATGGGAGCACGAAAATACCTTCTTCTTGGGGTTATCGTCATCATCGGACGGCTCGTCGTCGAACCCCATGACGGCACGGTACGTTGATTCGAAAGCACCAGGGCCTGAGCTCGGACCTGCACCTGCGCGCGATGCCCAAGGCTGACAAGGAAGGTAAGTATGTAAGATATGAGAACACGCAGACACAAATTAACTCACCATGGACACCGGCGGCGGCGCCTTCATAGGCTCGTCCATTCGGACGATGATGTACGTCGACGAAACAGCTTTCGGTGGCGAAAGCACCTGTTTGATGAGAGACGCGTGGCCACGGGCATCCCGGAGCGGGAGCCAGGACGAATTCGCCGGCTTGAGCCAACGCCACTGCACGCTGGAAATGACGAGAAACTCGCCCGAAGTCTCCAGTAACTCCCCAAATGTGTCTACCAAGTCACCCCAAGTCATATCCGTGTTGGCAGAGATGGGGCCATGGGTTGTAGGTTCCGGTTTGGCGACTTTTTTGGGGGGTTTCCGAGAGACAGATACTGATTTCTTGGCCGCAGGATATGTCCAGATTACGATCTCGAATTCGACAGCCTCGGAACCCTCTGGGTCGGGACTCGGGGCAGTGGGAGGATTGGGAGGAGGAATGGTACGCTTGCGCGAGCCCTTGGGCTTCGGAGCAGCGGCAAAGACAGAGAGCTCCGGCGACAGACATGTCCCATCAAAGGACGTGTGTGGATTGGTCGGATCGTGACCAAAGTGCGCAGCAGGCGTGTATGACTTTTGGAAGGAGGGAACATGGGGAGGATAAGAGGGGACATGGGAAGAATCCGCGGGAAGCGGTGTGGGTAAAGAATGTGACGGCGATGATAGGTCAACGCCGGCGTCGGGATCAAAAGAGAAAGGAGCGGTGATTCGGTGACCTGTTTGTACAATCAGCTTTGCACAGAGATGGAAAGAATTGTCGCGCAAAAGTCTGAATTTCCATCTCGCTCAGCGTCGGACTCAAACTGAGAGCACGCAGTCTCGGCATTGGGCTACTGCTACTGAGCGGCTCCACCGGCTTGGAGTTGCCGTACTGCGACGGCATCTCGTACGCAGGAGGAGAATTTGGAACGGGTGGTCGACGGGGCTCAAAAGACATAAGAAAAGGCAAGAAGATGGGGGGGTGGCAACAATTTTTTGGGGGACATTTTAGCGAACTTAGCGACGGCCCGACCGGGCGAAATCCAAATACAGTAATCCTTAGCTAGCCATCAAAAGTTAGACAGTGCGAAAAAATTTCGCGTAGTGCCAAGGTTTTCGGAAACAGCTGTAAGGAAATTAAAAACAACTCTAGAGCGTTTAAAGTACCAACATCGGGGTCGAATTTGACGGAGCTGTCAACTCGGCGAGCGATGTTTCGTCTTGACTAGTTGAGGTCAGACTCGTCATGCTCGTCGTATCAGTCGTCAAGATTGGCAATCCGGGAGAAGAAAGATATCAGACTGGGACAACGGGAGACAATCCAGACGAGTGCCAAATGAATGCCATATATATGTTTGCGAAGCTGTAGAAAAGAAGCTTGTACAGCCTTGAATGTACAGCAAGCCTGATCAAAAGTCTCGGAGCTGGGATCCGGGTTCGACGGGGAAGTTGGGCGCCCAGTTGAACATGTACCGGAGTTGGGGCCGTTTTGAGAGCCTCGTCCAAGCGTCTCCGAAGGAACCGTCAGCTATTCAGCCCATTTGGTGGAGGAGAAGGTGGATTGATGACTCACGGCATTTGGCTAACTTGTGCCGCGTGGCAGTGCTGTTCTGCCCGCTACCACCAAGACCACCACTGACCAACCTACAAACAGGTACTAGGAAAATTTGACTCATACATTTGTGCGCCTGTCAAACGTGCCTCTTTGCGAGGATTTCCGTTAACAATATCGCGGAACAGTGCCGTGGGATTTGAATGACCCATATCCTGGAACAACTGGAAACCTATTTGCTCTGCTCTCCTCTCCTAGCCATCATCCATTTGCTCAGAATCACAGCACTGCATACATTTGTACTCTGGATCTGTGGCACAATGCTTTCACCCAGACTCATAACCAGTCTGCCTACGACGTTCTAACAATTGTTGGTGTATCTAGCTTTCACCTCCATAGCACAATCTGTGCCTCTTATTCTGGGTGCCTTCACAAAGGTCCTTGGGACGCAATCCAGAACTTTTTCCTTCTCATTCAAACCGCATTCCGTTGATGCAAAGCGGTATACTCCATGCCCGATAACGCAAGCATTTTTTGTTGCGTGCTGCAGTCACTTTTAGTCCTCAGGAAAATGTGTTCCAATTACCAGTGAAGTCCAGCTCCTTATGCTATCGCTGCCAGATTGCTTTCGTTAGAAGTTTATTAGCCTCAAACAAGAGCTGCGATGTTTACATTTTGGCATAAACCGTGAACTCGAAACATGGAAATTTGGTTCGATTGTGCCCGTGTCCACGCGAATCTCTTTGCAACGGGCGCTTAGCGCAGGGGTAGCGCGTTCGCTTCGCATCGACGTGTGCTACTGCGAAAGGTCGTTGGTTCAAATCCTACAGTGTCCAGTGATTTTTTGTCTCTTGAAGAATCTGCGTTGTCTCTGTCTTCGACGTGCGACAGGCAGGTGAGGACAGCACGAGAGGGCAAAAATGGGCAGCTACAGACGAAATGCGGACCAATTCGGGGCTGGAGAAACAAAAGGATAGCATCACTGACTGCTTCACGTAGGCCGTAAAATAAAAATGCAAGCCCAAGGGGTATCGGAAATGCGAAAATGTCAACATACCTTCCATTTTTTATCTCAGAGCCTCGGCGGACCCCCTCCCCCTACGTAAGCAGTGATTGCGCATCAAATTACCTTTTTGGGACATATGTCCGGACAGATATTGCGCGCGCCAGGCATTCCCGCCTCCACCACATACAGACATGTTCTCCTCGTACAGCTTGTCATCTGGTACATAGGGGATGTCACTACACTGCAATTTGGGTGATTTAACCGCATGAAAGAGCGGGTGATTACCCATCCATGCAAACAGCTTTGAAGCCGTGGTCATACACTTCCAAGTGGCCATTCTTTTTATGCTTCTCATGAATTTTTCAACAAGCTTACCAGTATATCCAGGCTCGTCCATAATATAGTCCAGACTTCAACCAAACTGCAAGTTCAACTCTTGGTTCAACTGCAAAACAAGAATATTTCCTTAGCCTTCCCTGCCAACCATCCGGGAAATTTTGAGTCGGACATGGATTTAGGACACCTGTGTAACCCATCTCCCCTTGAACTGTGTATATTCGAGACGAGAACTTCGACATCAGTTGTCAAATCAGTGATGGCAAGTGCAGCCAAACATGCAAAAATATTACATTTTCGGTGACAAGCCTTTTTCATGCGAATTGAGCCTCTACGACCAACTTCCAGATTTCCTACAAAACTTTTTTTTCAACCTCGGGCGGGACCCCCCACCCCCCTTCCCCATAAGGAAATTTCTTATCTTCGATACCCCTTGAAGCCCAAGGCCGAATCGAACTCATCACCACACCACCGTGATCCAAGAAGCAGTCACAACCATTACACTATTGCAACGACAAACTCTAATACCTCGAATCCATCTACAGTCGCTAAATGGGTTCCGGAACATTACCAGTTCCGGAACAAGTGTGATTTTCTGCGCAACAAGCTGAGTTCTGACTTCAGAACTTCTAGGGAATAATCTACAATGTCCTCCACAGCATCCTACCGAATATTAAGCCAAAGGCCTTCTCTGTTGTTGCACGACAAATTATTCTTTCTGATACGCCCAAGGGGCTACCGATTCGCGAAATCTGCACCATACCTCGAAACTTTATTTTCAGAGGTTTGGGCGCCCCCCCCCCCCCCCTCCCCCCGTGGGGGGTATGCCGTAAATCTCCTTTTTAGGATGCCATCAAATTCTCACGCGCTCTCGGCAAGACTAAATCCCGCTCAAAATACCATGGAGGTGTGCATTTGGGCCTCCAAGCCTCTTCCTGGGGCTTGAGGAGTCCTTTGGAGGTGTATAAGATTGATCCTGTGGGACATAATTTTTGGCCATTGCGAGGACATGTGATCGGCTATTGCATTGGGAGGGGCTGTGCTGCGCTGATCGACCAAACACAGTAATAATGTATGTCCCTCTAACTCAACGACCGCTTGTCCGTTTGCTTTCGTGGATCGAGAGATCAGACTCAGAATCAAAAACTGAGTAAGAAGGGGAGGACATTCAAAAAATTCTAAGATCGGTAGCCCCTTGGATACGCCATCAAAATCCAATCATCATCGGTGATTCATCGCAAACCGTCGAGGATTTTTGGCGCTGGTGCTGCAGGGCCAGTGTTGCCGATGCTCTGTGTTATGTGGGTGCATCATTTGAGCTACGGCGGACAGCCATGGTGAAAGAAACAACTTGGCCAAGTCACAAACCCCCGTAAAAGCAGGATGTTCCGGAAGTGGTAATTTTGCCAAAAAATGTTGATCACTTTTGCCCCCGGTTTGCAGAGCATCAAGCCATGCGAAAACTTGGCCCAAAGTTGCGACCAGTGTTTTCGAGGTCGCGGAATTCGAATATACACACAGAATTCCCGTATTATTATTTTTTACTTTGTTTTTTGTGATTTGGCGTAGCTTGTTCCGGAACCCATTTAGCTACTGTATCTAAAAGTCTATGACTCCTTGAGACCCATGCTTTTTTCCTGAACCATGTCAGTGGGTAGGCAATGTGATGCGAAGCAAGCGCAATAACCCCTATACTACACACCCGATGACATCATTGTTCTGTGGCAGGTCATCAGGCGAGGGAGGTTTCCTCACCTGTCCAGCATCTCATCAGACTTTTGACAAGTACAAGCAAAGTACAAGGCCAAAAAAAAGGCCAAAAAGGGCCAAAAAGGCTTGAAATCACAAGGTCGAGCGTTCGACTCCGGTGAATCACCCATTTCCGCTTTCTTCTCAAATAATTGCTCGTGTGGAGGGACAAAGGAGAGCATTAGTGAGCACTTCGACTTCATTTTCAGTACTCGCACGACACTTAGAGTGTGGACGGCAACGAGAATCTCGAGATACTGGAACTTTGATGGGCACAGATTCCCTTTTGTGGTTTTCTCAGTCACTCCATGTCACACCTCTGATTCGCCGTCAATTCACGATCAACCTTCGAGCTCATCGTGCCCGACGACGACGACGAGGCGGATTCAAGCTAAAAAAATCCAATTGTCCATCGGTTGCTGTTCTATAGCACAATGAGATCAGATGCATGTTTTGAGCTAGCAAATTTGCCCGAACGAAGTGTGCAATGTCGAGGGCGGGAGGCGGCGGGACCACAGAAGATAGCGGAGGAGGCGGGATACGGTGAGCAAAGCCTTTGAAGGTCGTTTGATCCAGCTGATCGAAGATTGGTAATGTCACGCAGCAGAATGTTTGATTTACCAAAAAAAGGGAATCGGTGCCATCAAAGCACCAGAATCTTTTGGCAATCGAGTTACCGTCCACACTCTTACCGACCGATCATTTTCCATCAAAAGCTCAAAAGGCCTGAAAAGGCAATAAGCTGACAAGTTATTTGCCAAATGGCTGCTCCCAAACAGCATACACCGTATCATTGATGAATTTGATAGTGCTCCTCTCCTAAGCTGGTGAAAGTGTTACAGATCCATACAGATGCCCTCCAATTTGGGTGGCTAATTAGGCTCTATTTGACAGGTGTTACTTAAGTAGCCTAAGGATTCCCGCACCAGGCTACAGGTATAATATAGTGATTGACCAGTGTTCCCTGGTCAATCAGCTGAGTTGACCAGCCTGATCACGAGCCATGTTTCTTGGGCGAGTCAAAAAAAGGGCTTGGAGGAGACCTGGTTCAGATCATTAAAGCATCAGGAAGGGATTCACATGAGTAGGACAATCACCACTCACAATCTTATACAGTGGGTATTGTTTGTTTTGGAATATCATCAGGCTGCTGGCGCAGTACCTCGGTCCTTTGTGAAAATTGAGCATCTCATTACTCCAGACCAGATCATACATCTTTTCCTGGTTTTCCTACAAAGCTTCAGCGATTGAATACTAAGGCCCTCCGGGCACCCCTGGTACCTCCTCTCAGATCAGGCCCAATCCTGACCAGTGTGCACCGTGTTTATATTCATTGGTATTGCGACTTATGCAAAGGATGTCTTGAAAATTGTACTTGCAACCGCTCAACAATTTGCCCTGTCGACACTTGCGCGCGCGCGCAAGCGTCGACCAGCTCACATTGAGCTGGCGGACTGTGCCTGGCTTTTACAGGCAGGTTATCTTTGTTGAATTAATGCATCCCTTCCCTCTCATGTTGACACTTTCTTCTACGGCAGTCTAGATCTGTCTCCCTCTGTTGAAGCTCTCATGAATTATATTAGTAAAATCATCTCTCATATGGTAGACAGTTTGAGACTTCAAGTTTGAGTGGCTAGCAGAATCTTCTGGCCAAACCGTATTCTGCTAGTGGCAAATCCGTGGTTGGAGGTCGTGGAATCCGCTACCAAAAAGAGTCTCTTACCCCAGTGAGAGATTGCAAGAACACAGTGATATTGTTGCTCTACTCCGTAACGTAACTCCATTGTTATTCTATGTTAGATCACAGAGGTCCACAGACACTATGGCTGAGTGGTTGAGGCGACAGATTTGAATTCCACATTATTTGTTGGTATTTTACCGCGCAGATTCAAACCCTGCTGGTGTCGTGGGCGCTTCACGCCGTTGCTTTTTGCGTCACACATTTCCGCGGGGGTGTTGGGCATAGTTTTGCCTCCCCGAATGGCTTCAACCACGAAACGTTGAAACGGGGCGCTTGACTATGGGGTATACGAATGCTAACTAGTTTAGCTTCGTGAATGAACACAAAACCAACCAACCAACACACACACACACACACACACACTTATACTATTAGCGCACACCAAAGTTGCGGGGACGGGGTTCGTTCCGTAGTATGCGGACAGCTGGAATCGAACTAAACGCAACAAAGTCTCGTTGGGGTGGGGTCTACAATCTTGTACTGAACTTCCAGTAGTATAAACTGACTGAAATGCCTCGCCTAGGCAATGAACCAAATGTTTTATATGTGTTTTTCCGGGACGGGTTGAACGCTAGGAGCTTACTTTAAAGCCCTAGGATCGATGCCAAGGTCCAAGGCGTCAACTTTATGACCCAGGGAACAGAGGACTTTATGAAACCAACACTGCAAGACCTTCTTAAACAGTGGACTCTAGCGTCTGGCCAAAGAACGTTTGTTTGGGAATCCTACAACCAATGCAAAAGACAACAGAAAGAATCCGGGGGCAAGGCAGCACGTCTAGTACTCAGAACCCAACGGCAATCCTCTTGGAGCTTATGCCAGTGCTGCAGCGACTCGTTTGTACGTGAATGCCTTCTTACGGGTCAGACAACGTGGAATTTATATCACAACTCAGTCAATTATCACACAAACACCAATTTATAGAGCAACTACAAACAGAAATTGAACGAATCTCCGCGAAGCCGACCTGAGGACACCACAGACTTTATTGAAACCTTCGACCT